CAATCTGCTGTGCAGATGCCGTTTGAGAAGTTCTCTTTTATTCCTGCTGGAGTTCATCCAATTTCAGCTCAAGCATATGGAGGGAATCTGTCAATTGATCATTGTCCTCAAAGTAAGGACTTGAGAGAAGTGGCTCAGGGGGAAAGTTCAGCAGAAGATACGACAGGTAAATTTGCTCATTGAGCTTTTATCACTTTGCTGCTGCATTTTTACTGATGCACTGCACATCCAGGTTGATATATAGTCTACTGTACCATTAGATGACCGTAATGAGCACTTGCAATATAATGTGATTAAGAACATTGAATGTTGATCCGCATGCAACAGATTTGAGTCATGGGGCTGAGCAACTGCTTCTTCCAGTCTGCTTGACTCCAAATGGATGCTATGTTTCATGCTGGAATTCATTTGATGGAGCAGAATTTTATGTATTTGCAATCGTTGAGCGAAGGGTTTGTGGGTTAAGCCATTATATAATTACATGTGCATTTGATGATTTCTATATGGGCCTTGAAACAATCATGTGAATTGGTGGGTTTGATGGTCAGCTAACCCTGCAGGGAGCGCAAATAGGATTTTTTTTTTGAGAATTTGTAGAGTTTGGTTTTTCTGCTGTCACAACATTGCCACTTTTTTCTTTTTCTTTTTAAATTTTGGACAAAAGTTGCAATATTATTTTCTTTTTAAACCTTTTTGATCTTCTTTAGTTCACAATTCATTTCTTGCAGTTATTTATTCTTTAATCTATATCTCATACCTTAAGATTTGACCTTGCAGTTGTACCTGCAATAAGATCAGTTTCTATGAGAGATATGGGAACAGAAATGACCCCTGTTACAAGTCAAGAGCCTTCTAGGACAGCTACACCTGTAGGGGCAACAACCCCACTCCGAAGCCCAACATCTTCAATCCCATCAACTCCCCGTAGAGGGGAACCAACATCAACGCCTTTGGACCACACTACAGATGATGAGTCACAGCGTCCCACTAATAATGGCAAGAAAGAGTTGTCTGAGCAAGAATTGAAGCTCAAGACAAGAAGAGAGATTGTAGCCCTTGGTGTCCAGCTTGGCAAGATGAATATCGCTGCTTGGGCAAGCAAAGATGAGAAGGAAAACAATACATCTTCAGTTGAAACCACTAATATAGAGGAGCTTGAACATATCGAATATGAAAAGCGAGCAGCAGCATGGGAGGAAGCTGAAAAGTCTAGGCATACGGCAAGGTTCTCATATGACCCAATACTTCGCCAATTTGTTCAATATTGTATGCTCATAAAATTATGTCCTATCTTTTTTCTTTTGCTGAATTCATATGTCAATTTATTAGGTATAAGCGTGAAGAGATCAAAATTCAAGCATGGGAGAGTCAGCAGAGAGCAAAACTAGAAGCAGAGATGCGGAGAATAGAGGTATGTAAATCCCTTTTTGACGCATACTCAAAAGTAATTCGTATTATGAAAATTTAAAGAGTACTGAGCTCCTCTGTGATGGCAATTGGTTATGTAAAAGCTCAGTGAGAAAGAGAGTGAACCTGGATCAAAAATTAGTAGGAAAGAGACTTATGTTAATCTTATACTCAAATCTCTTACACGATTCAGCAGAAATGAACCTTGTGAAAAGGTTTGGTTTTAGGTGGAGATCATGCAGTTAACTGAATTAAGTGCCATTACAAAATCTGTAAACATTTGACTTGAGCCTTTGCTTAACCAGAAAGATTGCAATCAGAAAAGATCGTTTATGTGGTCATGTGCTGAGCAATAAGTACTGGTAATAATTGTAAGTCTGTCACTTTTCAGGCGAAAGTAGAGCAAATGAGAGCCCAAGCTCAAGCAAAGGTGGTGAAGAAGATTGCTATGGCTAGTCAAAGATCAGAAGAAAAACGAGCTGCAGCTGAAGCCAGAAAAAATCGAGAAGCCGACAGGACTGCTGCTCAAGCAGAATACATTCGGCAAACGGGAAGAATGCCATCAGCCCATTACATCTGTTGTGGCTGGTTGTCATAATATAGTAAACAATGAATAAAAGCAAAATTGCTCATACACTTTTTGAGCCCCTAAGTAGCAAGTCTCTTGCCCTCTGTCTTGAGCTTTAGTGATGGTCCAAGAGTGTTGTATTTAATAGCGTGGCCTCAGTTTTTGTTGTTGTTACATGAAAGATGAAATGAATACTGCAATCGATGCAATTAATGTTAATGCCAATAGTATTTTCACACCCTAGTACCTCTTGTTCCAAAGGAAGCAGCCATCGTGAAAACATAGAATAATATTTGTTCCAGTATCCCAATCTTTTTCTCTTTGCATGTAAAAGAAAAATTACGCAAGGGAAGGATTATATTATCAAATTACCTGACTTAAGGGAGCCTCTAAGTTGAAGTTCAAAAAGTAACTAAACACAAGGGCTAGTTTCTAATGGCTTAATGTTCATGTGGAACTGTGCTGTTGGCTTTTTTTGAAGGGGAATCAGCTGTGTAATCCCTCTACTCTTTTATGTCCCTCATTGCAATCTGGTTCTGCATAGATCAGCCAGTAGCCTTGAAGACTTGGGCTCCGGGAAGCTTCAGCCTCTTAACTAGACTAGACCCATGTCAACCAAAACTCCAAACCCGCCGTGGTTTGGTATGGCTTGTTGGGCTTAAAGCATCATTTGGGCTCCATGACCGATCTATATGGCTTGAAAATTGGAATCGCCTCGGTGATCCAAGGACCATGGTCCATGGCAAAGCATGCACGCTGGTTTTGACCATTTATACATCAGTAGGCAGTAGCTCCTTTCTGATCTCTTTGGTTCTTCTGGGATTTCAAGGTTACTAATTTTCCCTCCAGTGCTACCCCAGAACTGCACTATATTTCTGTTTGACGCCTTCGGGGAGCGACACCAATTACCAAGCAATTTCTGATTCATGGACTTGGTTAATTGGTGCCAAGCATATTCTCTGAGGAGAAGTGGCGTTTTCCCAACACTAGTAATTCTGAACCTCTTCTCCTTTGGATGACTTTTGTTTAATTTGTACCATGCATTTTTCCTTTTGAGAATGTTGGTGAGAGTAATCAAAGGGTGAGAAAGAAAAGAAAAGAAAGGAAAGGACTTTTATCCATGAGTTTGATGGGTTCAGACAACTGAAAATGTCAAAAGTAGAAAAAGCGAAGTTGATAAAGAACATGGCTTAAGCTGAGTGATCTCAAATCTGATTTTCAGTAAAAACTAAACCTTGCTGTACTATTGTTCATGTCCTTGTTTTACATAAACCTTTGAACCGTAATGCACCAACCATCTTCCGTTATTCTCCAAGGATTTGCCCTCGTAACAGAAGATTTCTATTAATCTACCCCACGGTCATGAAGAGGGTGGGGATAGAAAAAGGTTATGCACCAAGCAAAGGGAGTGTAATCGAGAAGATGAAACAAAAACTTGAAAAAACCAATCCTCCGTCACCAGTGGGCAGTGGCAAATCTCTTACAGCTAACATAAAATCTTCTAGTACTTCCCATCCCAAAAATGAAGACCTGTCGACATGCTTTTCACACGTATTAAACGAGTTTGAACGTGTTCTTTTTGGCCATGCTAGATGCTTGGCAGGAGATGGGGTCAAGCAAAAGCATTGGTGCGGTGCCAGTTAAAAGGAAAAAGGACAACTTTTCCCACCCAAAACATAAAGGGCTTAGAGGGAAGGTTGATGGATTGCCAACCCAACCCCACCCTTTAATTGGTACTATTATTGTTGCTGGGTGCCCTACCTTTGTCACCATTCCCATCCCTCAAACTAAGTCCTATCTATTATCAAATGCCCCACAACATGCAAATCACAAAAACACAAAACTAACCCTTCATTTTTCCCACCTTTACACTGTGGCCACCCAGTCCCACAACCCAAAAAGGAGACCTCAACTAGTATCTCCCTCCCCTCCCCTCCTCTCCCCTTCTTTTGAGTTCATTGAAATTTTATCCCCTAGTGGTAGAAATTTCCATGAAAATTGGCTTTGTGGATGAGGGTGGAAGAATGAGGGCACATGTCCTACATGTCAGGTCTACCGACATCAAGCTGGCCCCGTCAAGTAGACCATGGAATTATTGAAAACCTTCCATTTCACCTTCTGGCTGCTCGGCATGTGATTCCTTCCCGGCCCCGGGGGGGAACAGATCAAACAAAAGAAGAGTATACCTTTTTTTGGTTAATCCAGGGTGATACAAAACTAAGGGTGATCCCATTACGTTTTCCTAGCGATTTGTAGGGTCTCGTGCATCCTGATTGAGTTGCAGCAAACTTTCACAAGTAGCCACAATTTGATGGGACAGAGATGCAGCAGATTTTTTGATCTGGCCCTGGGTAGTCTATCAAGGCACAGAAACATATCCTAGATACGATGTTTTACACCCTTGCTAGATGAATTTTCCTGTCGTGCTGATTTATAAAAATCTGTTCTTGATGCTTTGGAATACCATCCCAAAGAAAGATGGTTATTATACAATCATTGTGTCGGCTGGATGAGCAGCAATGGAACATCAGATATATATATATATATATCTCCCAGGGTCTAGATGCCATCATTTACCGTTCTTCAAACAACCCCGACACTAAAACTTATTTATTTTTCCAGGATATGTTTGAAGGACTAGTCTCACTTTCATCAAATAAGTGACTTGGTCGAATGGATGGTATATGTCTCCCCTCAGTTGGATATTGACAACCCCGCTAGGCTGATGAGCTGATGATGACAGTGAAAGTAAGGGATTATGCTCACTTTTCAAAAGTTGGAACAAATCAAGAAAAAGGGGGCCAATTTTCAAACTAATGGAATGCAGAAACGGTTGGCCTTTGACACCTTTGTTCCTATAAGGACCCATCACATGGCTCTTGGATTTTATTAGCCATCCAATTTCATACCAGAATGGAGTTTTCAAAAGTTGGGAAACTTTAAAAGGGTTGAGCATCAAGTTCATTGTCATTTCTTCTCTAACCTTCACCAGTTCACGACATAATAAATTGACTACTCAAGAATGTGAGGGGAAAAGCTAAGCTTGCTTCACAAATATTTGATATCCTAATAAATATGGATTGTACATATTTCAATAACGTATGCAACAAAGATCTCTTATAATTACAGTATTAGCTTATATATATTATATATATAAACTTCAAGCTAGAGTTAGGCAGCTCTTTCCACCTACTATAAAAATTAAAAGGGTTGCAAGAGTCGCTAATATTACAGGAGAGATAGTATCTTAACCGGTCAAACTGTTCAGTAGTCCAAGGACCCCACAGAAGCAATACCGGAGCTCAAATTTCTCGAGTCCTGCCGGCTCACATAGTCATCACAACTGCCATTAGAGAGCCTCTGAACTGGGACAGAGTTTAGAAGCTCCAGGCCTCGTTTGCCCATTTGCTGCACTTCCTGTGGTGAAAGTATCTTGATACACCACACACTGTTCACAAACTCCCTGGTGGGAGGACAAAAAAGAAGTCACCCAATTAGCAAATGAAGAAGTTAGCATGTGGAACCCCAAAAGAGATTTTAAATGCATGAACCCAAAAGGGTTGATATTTACCCCACCAAGTTTCATACATGTGCATGCATGTCAAAACTATTTGTAGGATGGAATGCAACAATTCATTAAACTAAATGGTCCAAAGAACTAGACTTGCATCCTAGGGTTTGCAACAAAACTATGTTATACAAAGTGGAAATGAGAACAGAAACTCACGGCCAAGGGTCATCACCGAGGAGAAGAACATCGTTCTCCCGGTCAACAAATACAAGCTGCCAGCCTGATCTCAGAGGGTCCTCCAACTGGCCTTCAAGGCCAAACATTTGTGCAAGTTCACTGCGCAGCTCATTGTAGCTGCTGAATTTGGAGATATCCAGTGACCTCCCAAAGGACCCTGATTTATAAACCTGTTTCATAGTTAAAATATTCACATAAATTTCCAAGAATCAAAATACGTGTGTCCATAAAACATGGGCAACAAAATTCACAAACCCAATGGAACTCAGACGACCTGCCAGATTCATTAATCTTGAAATATAAATTAAAAACAGAAGATAACTGACCTTAACAAAGGTTCGAGTTTGTGGGTTTCCTTGGCCCACATTTTCTGGAGACTGCAAGAAACCCGATTCATCAATGCAACTGGAAGGTGTCATTGCTGGATTAACTGAAAAATCTGTGCCTGCAGCACTCATATAATTAGAAGAGAAAGGTATGGTAGTGGAGTCACTATCGCTACCAACTCCCCTCAGGCTTGACATGCCATTTTGGATTAGAAGAGACGAAGGCTCTATATTAACACCAAATAAGAGATGGCTCTGTGGATCGGTACCCCCTTCTTGGTCTATCGAGCACTCCCTGCCAGGAAAGGGTGGCAAAGAAATAGAATTTTGAGGCATATTTGTCTGGGTTTGCCCCAATTGTTCTACCTGGGGCAAAACACACTGTGGAGATCCAGATGAAAGAACTTCAACAGCAGCCCGCTTAGATGGCCATGCAGCAGAAGTAATTACAGGGTTGGATCTAGGCAAGTTGAGCAGATTGGATGATTCATCTTGGGGGAAAGAACCCAGAAGACTATGCAAAGGAGAGACTATAGGGCTGGTCACTGTGTTCCCATTTGAATCAGAAAAACTCTGTTGTTGGCATAGTGATGGCATGGCTTGCAAAGATGACGATTGGGATTGAGAGGCTGAAGCATACTGTGACATTGCAGACACTGCACAGTGAATCTGCTGATGATCGACCAGTTGCTGGTGTTGCTGTGACAGTGGATGCTGTGGCTGCTGTTGGCTATTGAACGAGTTCTGGTGCTGCAATTGTTGCTGAAGCAGATGTGGCGGAGTTTGGGCCTGAGACTGAGACTGGTGCTGGTTGTCTTCAACACCCTGAAGAAAGGCCTGAGGTTGAGACTGCTGCAACATCTGGGGCTGCATTAGGGCAGCAGGCCTGCGGGGGAGATTTTGGGTTTGCTGAAATTGCAGAAGGGAAGCAGTTGCTGGTTTGGAAGGATCCACAACTCTCAAATCTTGCAGTGCAGCAGCAGCCATAGCTTGGTACATGTCAGCCGGCAGACCCACCATGGAAGCATCCAGCCTCGGCTGCATCCATGGTGTAACTCCAATCCCCTGAAGGTTCAGAGACTGCATTCCTCGATCTGCATCTCCTCGTAGCCACATAAGTGGAGAATTCATGCCTAGATCATCATCCTTGATGCCTAAGGCAAAAGAAAGTCAAATTTAAAGAAATAAGGAGGCCAAAGAGTTACACACACAAATAAAATGAAATAAGCATTGAAAGTTCATCAATGATGTTCAAAGACAACATAGCAAAGGAGAGGAGAACAAAACAGATAGTTGAAACTGCACAGCCATGGATTAGCAGCAGACTAGCATACCATGGAAAGAAGGTAATCCTGGTGGCCATGGTCGCTTAAGCCTTAAAGGAAATGGAGATGGATACATTGGGAATGATGTCAATGGTTCAATCTCCCACAAGGAAACTCTAGGCTGTCTTTCTCCAGCTGTTGATTCGTCCCAGCCAACCTATGCAAAAAAGTTAATTCCACAAAATCTCAGCACCATTGACAGAAAATCCGAAACAACAAAATTCTCAATAAACAGATGATATAGGCAATTATTCTCAATATACCTTCACTGATCGCCAATGTGAATTTGGCCACCGAGCAGGATCTAAGTCACTTATGCCAGTTATCGTGCCCATGTATCTGGGTAATGCAGAATCATCAGATGCAAAGCCCACAATATTCACAAGAAAACATATGGGATAGGACAAAAAACAAAGAAAGAGAACACAGTGGTCTGTTAGATGATCATCTAAGGCATTAGAAAAGGGCACAAATAAAACAGCGGATCTGACTTCTATAGCATTACTGCCATTTAATCCTTATATAAGGAAAGCCAGTTAGACGTGAATATACTGTTAAACGAATGAATAATTTAATCCTTTCATAAGGAAAGCCATTTTAAACAGTCAGAAACAACTGTTAAAGCAAAAAGATTTGAAACTTACCGACGAACACTCGATTCTTCTGTTTCAAACAGCATTCTAAAGCGCATACCAACAGAGACTCGCGTATGATAGACAGCTTTGATATATTTTGCCAAAGGTATGACAAATTCCGATGGGCTAGCCCTGAATTGTAAAGGAATAAGTTTAGATGGGTTAAGAAATCACTAGACAGAAAAGTGTAATGAGTCTTTAGATGCATAGCAATAGCACCATACCTTGGGTTATAAAATATAGTGAAACGACTATTTGTTGCAGCTGCATGAGCAGCGGCAGCAAGAAGCCCTAGATGCATGCTATCGCTAGATAAAACTGACGAAGGCATTACAGTTTGAGGTCGATTAGCTCGTCGGATACCAAGAAGTAATTGATTTTTTTCATTCCTGTCAAAAGAACCAATATGTTGGTTTGAGCATCAATATACCAACAATCTACAGCAAATAATATTTCAAAGAGCCCCAAAAGTTGGAGATGAGACAACAGTCAAGAGAGAGAAGGAGAGAGAGCATTCTCCATTGCTGCACCCTTCACGTAACATGTAAGGAGAAGAGATGATTCTCAGAAGGTCCATGAGGAATAATTCTACCCCAAAACTCAACTAATGAAATGCACCAAAACAAATGTCACATCAAGCTTTTTTATAGAAAGTCATCAGTGTTTTTTTGGCTAAATATCTGAGAAAATAAGCAAAAAATACAAGTAGCATGGCTAGAATTCTCAAGATCTTTTTTTTGTCATACCGAAAAGTTCAACCAAAGAATGGCTAGAATTATACATTTGGACACGAGATTGCTAAGGCTTTAAAGAAACATAGAGAAAAAATTAAATGTAATCTGTTCTGACGCAAGTAGAGGCAAGCTGAAATGGAAGACAAGCCAGACACCTACCAGATAAAAAGCACTGAATCACCCGCAACTAGTCTTTTAGCACTTACAAATACACTCCATCCAGTTGTCAAGAGGTGCCTTTTAGGCTGGCCTGCATCACACAAGTCAATGACTGTTAGTTAAGTACAATTTATAGTCTTGGGACAATAATCAACATGACAAACAATGAACAGTAGCCACAATTATAATTAAGGTAGTTTCAATTGTCTAACTGGAAAAATTACTTATGACTTCTTGAGCACACATGATAAATTAAAAAGCCATTCTCTACAACTTAACAGGAATATGAAGCTGATAATTGCATTTCTTGGTCAAACTTATCCATAGTTGAAGAGGAAAAGAGGATGCTTGGTCAACTCACCCCGAAATATATGCCTAAATTTCCATTCATTATCATGCAAGTCCCTTGCGATCAACTCCTGAGCTGGAGGCTGCTGGGAGAAGTCCTGCAGGCAATCAATAGCATAACATTAGAAATAAACCATTAAAAGCAAAGGAGGACATTAAAACTTAGGGTGACAACAGTTTACCAGTGGAGGAAACACTTTTTCGGCTGCTCGGCGAGGAACAGAGAACCCTCCATGAGTGCTTGTGTCACTGGCTGTTAATGTTTTACAAAAATAATTTGTTGGCTGTTTGCTGGGAGTGCCCAATTCTGCTGGTAGGTAAGCCTCTTTTTGTTCTTGCTGTAGAACAAGTAATCTTCAATACTTGAGGCAATCAATAAAACAGGCAAAATCAAAATAAGAATCCAGACGAAATAGCATACCAGACTTAATGGCTGCAAGGTCATCTGTGCATATACCTCATCTGTCTCAACATCAGCCTGAAGTTGACAATTTGAGGCTTCAGAGACAAGTCTATAGGAAGACATAGAATCACAAAAACCAAATCAAACCAAACAGGCCTTACATGCATGGTAACATTATGGAGCTGACAAATAAGTTGTGGAGGTAAGCTTGGGTAGTTAGGTATGTGGGCATCCACTTCTTTGTTGGTTGATGCAGCAACCTACAATGAAAACCCCCAATATATGCTTCAAAAAGCATGTCCAATTACCGAATATGATGTCTATTTACGTAAAATGAACTGTTATATTTGGAAAGAACCAGATTGATGAATTCAACTAATATATTTGATATAAAAAAGACTTTAAGACACAAACACAATCAAGATAAAAGGGAAACTACTGTGAAACCTTGAGTTGTCACATAAGAGTTTTACATAAAAATTTACACATTTGAAACTCCCCATGCTCAGGCTTAACACAAGTACAGAGACTAATAATCAGCAATCATAACTCAAATATGTACTTACATACCAATCCTTGCCAAAAAAAAAAATTATAGAAAAAATTATAGTTTTCAAAGTTTAAATATAAAGAACCAACATAAACAACAGAATCTATACAGCATTAACAGCAGAAGGGACTCAAAAGTCTGGAAGAAAGTCATTCCAGCTCCTACAAGGTGAGGAGGGAAAGCGGGGGGATAATGATCTGGGTTTCCCAGGGATTTGCGATGACAAATACATGTATATTGCAATTTTTTAATGTTTGTGTGAAAGTCAAATAGGATGGTAATATGAAAAAATTCCACCAAATTCCAGACTAGCAAAAACTTTGGTTTCACTGGCCAGAAATATAAAGCTCCTTCCATCTGACATTTTATATCATACTCAAACTTAGTTTAAATATTTTCTATAGAAGGGTAAAAAGGTAAAAAAAGGATAAGGTATGCTAGAAGACTCAAATCCACTATAGATCCATTGGAGGATCAATTATGGTAGCTAAAAAGCAGATGAGTTGGAGTTAGGGAGAGGCTCATCACACAAATGCCCATACAGTAAGATGGTATTTGGTGGTGACAAGGAGACATTTGAAGATCACCCTTACGTTATTTACATTCTTTCAATTAATAGGGAAAGGGAAGTATTGATGAGACGCTCCAAAATAACTTTTTTGCTTTTTCCTGGGCAAAAATAGTGAAACAGTATTCATAATTTATTCTTCATGTAGCAAACGGAAGTTGATACATACGTACTATCGGCAGTACACAAAATGTGCTTCAAAATCCATCACAAAGAACAAGCTAAACCCAAGTCCAAGCATACTAACCTGTTCGCTATGACCTTGTGGGAAATAAACAACCCTACTTCCGACCGGAGGTAGAGAAACAAGAGGACCCGCACATGCATGCCAAAGTTCAGAGTTCAGAACTCTCTTCTCTCCTGCAAAATCTATTTAGCATTAATGTAAAAGCACTTCAACAAAATTAAAAGAAAAAAGAAAATAAAGAATTGAGCTGGTGTTGATTACAAAGTGCAAACCCCCAATTAGTAAACTAAACATTTCATCTAAAGGTCAAGGGACGCCAAAAGAAACCCAACCTTGCAAGAAATATGGGTATGCATTAAACTCCAAAATAACGCTTGATCAGAACACAAAAAACAAAACCATATACGAAATAAAGGGGACAAATTCAGCAAGACATAAACATATTAACCCACAGCTTGTCTAATAGGAAACGGTGAATCAAATCAAAGTAGAATTTTGCAAAACTTTATGCACTTCTTGACCCCAGACAAATAAAAAAGGAAGGAATTAATAAAGACAGAATTCCACCAACCAACAAAGGGAAATCCAGCTATCTTCCTATAGCTTTGCATTCGAGACTTGGTAAATCCAAATAAACTGGAGTTACTGATCTGGGGTTTAACATTTTAACGTTTCAGCTTCTGCTACATTTTCTCAAGCAAAAAACAAAGCAAATGGACATCCCAAATTCTAACAGCCACATGATAATTTCAGCTCCCCTCTCCCAAGGAACTCAACTAATCCTTAAAGAAAAAATACGGGGGAAGAAAAAAAGGAGAGACACAGCAACTGAGCGACTTTGATAAATAAGAAGCATACCTTCCTGGGTTTGTGGATTGAAACCAGCTGAAGCAAGCCTCATTTTTTTTCTCAAAACAAATATAACAACAACCTTAAATCCCAAGTTATACCCTCAAGAAAAGAGATCCCCTACCCCAAAGACCCCTCCTTCTAACCACACCAACTAAGGACCAAAATCCTTCAGATAAGAACACCCACACTCAAAAAATTTTCTTTCTACTCCTTTGTTTCCGCAAAAACACCATGCCTTAACAAGAACCAGCTCCAATTAAGCAAAAAGCTGACAATTTACCCATCAAAGAAGAGACTTTAAAAACAATACAAAAACACAAAGCCACAAGACTTCTTATCTTTTTCGTTTTTTTCTCAACCGAAACCGGTTTTACTACAAAAGACAATCGCTTTAAGCCTCATCCGCCTCCTATCTTCTTCTTCTCCACCCAAAAACCCCAAGTGCTCTTCTCTTGAATCAAAACTTTCATGCTAAAACAACAACATAGTCTTTTCTTTTTTAATGTTCCAACACTTTAGCCCCACATTTCACCTCCCAAAGACAAAGCCTTTTGATCCTTAAAGGGTGTACAAAATACCAGCTTTTTCTTTGAGTTCCTCGAAGCTTGTAACCACTAACCCCAGCAAGCAAAAATACCCAACAGATCTCAGCTTGAAAGATAACGATTTTTTCCAGCCTCTCTCACCAATAAGTTTCTTTTCTAACAAAGAGAAGCCCAGATCTTTGTTCTCACTCACAAACCAAAAAAAATATGATGCAAAGGTACAAGCTAAAAGAATTATGTAGTACTATTATTATTACTATTATGCATTTGGGCTTTCTTCTCTCCAAGCTCTCTCTCTCCTTTGTACAGTCCAACTGTTTTCAAAAGAGGTATTGGGTATTTATAGATTTTTTCTTTTTTTGCAGAAGAGTATAGTATGTTTTATATCTATGGTTGAGGATTTTAAAGATGCAAAAAATTTTACTGGTTTTCAGGGTGGGAGGTTCCTTTTTGTTTCCAGCAATGGAAATAGTGGTGGTGAGTGATAACTGATGACTACTGGGGGGAGAGAGAGAGAGAGAGAGAGAGAGAGAGAGAAAGAGTCTCCTGCTGCTTACTCCTTGTACTACACTGCTACTTACTGCTGGTTGCCTTTGCTGTTTGCTTTCTTTCTGTCTCTCTCTTTCGTCAATTGCTAAGTTCCTCCAATCAATGAACACACAACCGCCATTATTATTTTTATTTTTATTTTTCTGTCCTTTTTTATATTCCGGTGAAGGAAAAATGCGAAAAGAAAAAGTGCCTTAAGAGAGAGAAAGTGTCAGATTTTTCTCAGAGGGAAGGTTTTTTGCTTTTCTTCCTTTTCATTTTGGGTTTTGTTAGCAGTAAAACTTCGGAGTGACCATTATAGCCAAATTTTGGAGGTGATTGAATTGCCCTTGAAGGCTTGAACAATTACTAAGGAACCATTTGTTTTGTGACCAGGTTTTTTTCTTTTTAACTAGTAATTTTCTAGTTTGTTAAAAAGAAGGTAGTTGATTAGAAGACTCCAAATTCAACATTTGCATGAAATGATTAGGGGAACCCTGTTCAGGGGGGAGTATCTTGAATGATATGGTAGCCAACTTGCAACCTGCAACTGTGCCCCTCTCTTAATCAAGATGGGCCAGCACACAAGCCCAACTGCAAAGTCCATATAGTAGTACTTAGCAGTAGTGTAATTGATGATAAGAAATGGGAATATTTATGTGGGGAAAGTGAGGTGATGGTAAGTTGTGACTTGAATATTAAACCAAGGACAAGATAAGTGGAAATTTCAGTTTAGGTTCTAGTATTCACATGAAAATGGTCGCATTCTTGCAAAGCATAGGGTTGGTCCCATTGCAAGAAGTAGAAAGGTAGTACCATCTTAAGCGCTTCTTCTTTTATGAACATTTGACTTTGGAATGTTAGTTTTCTCGATATTAAAGATCCATTGATATGAAGAAGGAAAAATAAAAGAGGGGGGGAGGAGGGTAGATAAAGATATAAAGAAGAAACGCTAAAGCTTTGAGAAGACAATGGCAAAACAAGTAGTCCATACATGCCAAGAGATTACATCCAAAATGCATGGGATGAGATACTTTATTCATTAAGTGATATAAGCCTGTGATAATGAGTTTTTACAAATTTTTCCGTGGTTAGGTCCACCCAATCCATGAAGATATATGTACTATTTGAGGTGACATGGTTAGGGAAATTATGAGTTTAGGGTCCATCTCATTTAAAATCAGGGAGGGATTACATCCTATCATAGGGTCCATCTAAGTCAGAAAAACATTTTTGTTTCTGATTTTTTTTTTCTTTTAGTTTTTCCAAGCTTAGGCTGGAAGATTGTCGCCTGCTTTATGGCATTTTTGAGGAACCTTCCTTTTCTTTTGTTCAATAAGATATAAACATAATCCTGTTTGAGCTGACATTTTTTCTAGGAATCTTGATCCATCTCATAATTGAACTTCAAAATATTCAAACTTTGTGAAATTTCTCAATCATTTCCTATTTTCTTTTCCTGCTACTTCCATGGTATCTCCAAGTAAGTTCGTGAAAGCTCATCTCCCAAATTAAAATATGAGTTAATTACCATTAAAGCTGCAGGGATTGATGCTTCTCATCTTGGAACACACTTGCAGTACTAGTTTAATTGAAGACAATTTTGTTAGGTATGGCATTTGTTTTGCGGTCAATGTTCAGGAAAATCCAACAACCTACCAGTTTACCAGTCCTGAAGTGCATTTAAAGTTAGAAAACTTGAAAGTTTCAAAGAATATATACTTGGGAACAAAATTTGCTAAATGTATGAATGAAGCCAACCTGCATTTTAAGGCTTTAAACCCATAATTACTCATGATTATACATGATCCTAGACATCACTTATAATGTTGTATTTATTGCATAAACTCATGACTGAACCCTCAATAATTTCCATCACCTGTGTGTCAGTATCCGATGCATGGGGTCAGAGAAAATAAATTTCTCTTAGACAAATCACGACACCTGCATCTTCATTCTCCAATTCTCTTTCATGTATTCATATTTCAGCGTCAACTGCAACAACAAATCAAGTTGCAACTTACACATTTAACATGCGATTCCTCGACCATGCAGTGCAGCAAAATATAACCCAAGGGTTCGAGCACCACATAGTTCAGATTTGGGAGTTTCAAACTAAATTCTTTAGCTCCATTAAACTGATATCTTTGATCCAAAGTCACGAACTCGATCTGCTGTGTTATTACATTAAAAATAAAAGAGGCATTTAGCGTAATGAAAACTTGTTCATCATTCCCATGCACAATGCGTACATGTAGTGGTAATTAATGCTCTCTCATGCATACTGAAGCCACCCCCACCCTTTTTTTTTTTTTTTGTAAAACTTAAGACGTAATAGAGAATTGAATCTTGAAATGATAATAATAATGTTGGGAATGTTTGGTTTCACAAATACATAATGATAATGATTAATGGTACTCCTTGACAAAGCTTCTAAGCAACAAATCTTAGGATATGGTACTTATTATATTTGTTTGCATGTATCTTTTTTAATTATGATTAAAATTCAGTTATATAAAAAGCAACCTATTAAATATAGCATCCATTCATTTGATTTCAATTTCTTTACTTTGGAAACGATCGGATTATAATTATTAATGACTTAACAAAATTTTGAACTTAAATTACTTGATTTTTAAAAATTTAAATTCAAGTTATTAATAATAATTATCTTAAATTTTTATATAAATTTTAATAATTATATACATATGTATGGTGTGTGATGAAATATTATGTATTGTGTAATTGAATTATTTTTTACTTTTAGAGAAAGGAAAAATGTTGTTATTTAAATAATTTAATGCATCTCAATTATTGTCCATTTTATGTAAATTATTCTTATGCGTGAAAATGAAAAGAAAATTGTAGAAAATTTTAAAAAAGAAAAAAGAGAAAATGACCTGATCCTACTTAGATACGGACGATGTGTGATCTACGTACGTACGATAAAGAAGAAAACAGCGGTTAAAGGACGAATCCTGACCATTGGTTTGAGCAAAGGTAGGACCCGACTGGGTTGTGATGGAGACTTGACGTTCAATCACTGTTTACCCTTTTGCATTGGTCCCTGTCAGGGCCGTACGGCGGAGAAGCGGCACACGCAATGAATTGCCCCACGCGGCTTTTATTCAGTCTACAGATAATAAACGGTTGGGGAAGTGGCAGGAATCGTAAATTTCGCAAATTTGAAAGTGAAAGAAGGTGGGGGCATTCGAAATTAAAATAAGAGGATGAAACATCATTGTCAATTTTTCATCTTCTTCTTCTTTCCTGCTTGATTTGTTTTCTTCCCTTCTGATTTATTGATTATATATGAACATGTTTGATTGCCTAATGTACACTTAGAATGATTAAATTTTTAATGTGTGTTCTTAAAAATTGTCATGGTCTTAAGTGAAATTAATTAGATTTGAAATTATATCATCATTGAATACCACTATGTTTTATCTTATATAGTAGATGATATCTGTTTTTATCATCATACTAATACTAATAAGATTTAATGGATAAATATCTTAAAGTTAATAATTGAAAACTAGCCTTTTTGATTTCAGGTTTTGCAAATATGTGTTAATAATGCTTCAATATTTTTAGGTAATAGCAAAATTTTTGTAAATAAGTATCAAGGGTTAAAATTATTACAAGCCTAAGCATCTCCAATCCCCAAATTCACCTTGATCAATGGTATGGTCACAATTTTTTATTTCAAGAAATGAGGAATTTATTGAGTCTCTAAACCTAATTATATATAATCAAAATGTATATGCATTCATTTGGTAGAATATGCTCTTTTTACCCATGTTACTTGATTTGTATTTAACTCAAATACAAAATAGTAAATTTCTTCAAAAAAAAAATGAAACTATTGTGTTACCATTATCTCACCTCACATGTAAAATTAATTACCATAGCGATTGTCGTTGATCGAGAATGTTCTCATAAATCTAACAAATTATATAACAAAAAAAAAGTACCAAAAAAATTACGTTATTTCATGTTATATAGATTTGATATTAATAATGTGGTCATACCAGCAATAATTTAATTACTTAGTTCATTATTATTACATGTCTTTTCATGATATTGTTCATAAAACACAATAAAATTTATTCAAATTCAAATGGACCCTAAAAGGAACCAATCCTTTTTTGTTATGTTTTGCATGAAGATAAATTTTGATCATCAAAAGATAGAGATAATCTGAACTATATCATAACAACCATGAAGTTGAGTCTTTATTATTATTATCATTCAATTTCTAAGAAAAATAACTATATTCCATCGATTTGGATAAACGTAAACATATTTCAAATAGAAATAATTTATTTATAAATTATATACACTGGATTACTTGCTCACTATTACTTGTTTATTGAAAAGCATCCAAAAAGGAGAAAATGTTATCGTAGTATTTTATATTTATCTTCAGCCTCGAGTCCTTGACAGCTCTTCGTACCTAGGAATGGCGAAGTTTAAATTCTTCATTGGTAAATTTAATTAGGAATTCTTACTTGTGATGGTACCCTAGTTTGCTATACTCTGCATGCACAAAAACCTAAAGCCCATATTTGTCTTGGTTTTTAACAAGCAATCTTATTCAATTACCATGTGCTAATTAACAATTTCTGTACGAGTATTATGTTTGTCTGTGTTGGGTCTTCGTCTGGAAAAGTTAGCAGCCATTGAAGGGAGAAAAACATTATCATTTGACAATCAAACAGTTCATGCATCCATGATAAAACTAAGTTCTGAAAGTACTTCATATCAGCATGTACAAATTAAGATTTGATATGTGTCTTGTTTTGGTACACTTTGTAGCCATATTCTCCAACATTAATCCATGAAATTACACTAAAAGTTTGAAATGAAAAGGAAGCACATCATCATAAATTACCACACAGAAACCAGTTTTGGCTGACCCCCATATTGACTCTAAGGGAGCCCCATTTCAATTAATTAATGTTCATTGCCAAAAATAAAAAGAGCCCTTTTACCCACAGGAACTTCCCCAACTGCTTCGGAG